GAGATATTGTCACTAACTTGCTTAAATTTTCTAAAATCCTCCTCAAAAGCCTGCTATAAATTCACTGCAAATCACGCATGGCAAAATCCCCCTTAAAAGTTGTTTTAATCTCTATTTTTACTAGTTCCAACTGATACTATTTTACTAAACGTGCATTTGCTAGGTAACAGATGGAAAACATCCCGTTTCGCCGTTGTGCTATAATATTAAACGGTAAACCTGGGGGTCATTCAAAGTAATACGCTACATGATAGGGTTAGCGTGTATTATGGAAAACATGGCACATTGTGATGTACAACACCGATACTCATGCAACTGTAAATCAGTGGATTATTCCAAATAAAAAGTTTGAATTATATTCGCTGCTAAATCAACCAAATTGATAACAATAAACGCATTGGGCGCGCGATTTTCCCAAATAATTGGATTATACGGCGTTGCGAAGTGAGGATTGATTTTATTTAATTGATATTTGATAAAACGATTCCGCTGCGCCCACAAAAACTAATTTACCGTAGATGAGTTATAGTTTTATTAGGAGGTCTGTATGGCGTAAATGAAAAAGTCGTTTCAAGATAATGAAAAAATTTCCACGAAAATTTTGCACGTTTTCTTGCAGAAAAAATATCGCAGTAGGCTAACAAGGGGTGTAGAATAACGTAATATCATCAGATTTTACATTTCTTTTGCATATGTCAAAGGTTTGTACATTTATAAATCGAAATACGTGTTGTGCAAAACTTATTTTGTATAGTTTTCAGAACGCCTATAATTATTATACTCACAAATCTTGCTTTTCGAGGCAGAAGAAGTAGGTAAATTTCTGTAGAAAGGATAATTCAAAATGATTAAGTCTCCCCGAGAGCAGAGTGGTGAAATATTAATATAATGTGTCGTCATTTTCGCATCAATGCAAATGCGGAGCCTTCTTCCACCGGAAAATCTTATTTTCTCCAACTCGGGCTATTCCTCCTTTTTGCGCATTTGTAGCATTTATGCATGTAGATTTGGGCGGGATGGGGAGTGTCGATTTTAACGCCACTGAGCGGATAATATCTCAGATCGGATAAGCGCAACATTAAAATCGTATATAGGGTGTTATTAAATGAAGAAACGTGAATTATAAGCTAAGTGTGTTTGAACACTTGGATGGATGTGTATAAAATAACAAATTGTTGCTTACATTTATTGTTATTTTGCATAAATTGACTGACAAAGCTCACACATTCATATCTCACACTTACATTCAAGTAGAAAACTTTCGAGCAAGTCTCATATTTGAATCACGTAGTTTCGACAACTTGGCAACGTCGTACAGAGCGCAGCTGTGTGAGAGAGATTGATGGATGGCACAAAGTTAGGTTAGGTTAATGTTAAATATAGTGGTTTGGTAAGTTTTTAAAAGATTACGCAGGAATCATCGTAATTGTTAGATTTATTTTATTAGTTCCTTTAAACGAAAAGAGGAAACTGGAACGAAAAAGATTTTAGTTCAAAATTTTGTAGTGGCAGCGCGCGAGCAACCTAACCTTTCTTAGATGTGCGACGTTGCCACGTTCATTTATGAGAATAAACATGCGAAAAATGTAATATCTTTGTTCCTAGCTGGTCAGTCAACTTTATTTAAGCGTAACTCATAAACTATGTGCATAATTAACTACCTATACTGAAATGTTCATAATTATCTGAAATATTGTCCATTTAGGTGATAACTACCTTAAATTTCAGCCTGTCCACGTAAGTTTTTACTTAATTTACTTAACGACATTTTCTAGAACAAGAAAATGATTATAAATTCCTTCCTAAAGTTAATGGTGAAAGAATATTCCTTCCCACGAAATTATACAATGATATTTAGATTGGGTTAAAACAAAAGCAGATTAAAAAAAATAATGTAGCACACATTCGCCAGCCCGTTCCACATCAAATAAAAAGTATCTGGAGAGCGCAGATAGACTCATTATCGGGCTCGGTGGATAAAACCCTTTGGAGCCGACCGAACCGATCCTATTAATACTTTGAAACGAGACTTTAATGGCAAACATACATTTTTCATTTCCTAGATACGCGGATGGATCATAGCAAGCGTCGGAGCATCGTGCAGGCAAATAGAGCGCGTTGGCGCACAATTGACAAATCCTTATTGTACTCGTCAGTTAAGGGAGGGGGCGGCTGGCGGCGGATGTAAAAATCACCCCCCCGAAGGGGTTGATGCGGCTATATTGAAATCAGACCGCGCTCCGGCTGTGTTTGCGTGTCTCCACCGGCTGGGGTGTGGGCGGAGGGGGGTGGCGAAAGGTTACGCTGGTAATTGTGTCTGAAGGTGGTTTCTATGACGCCTGTATAGGTAGATGTACAATATACGATCACAATTATTTTAACCCATATAGTGATAGTGCAGCACGGAAAGCCTTAAGAGGGATCTATAGCAAATAGGCAACCAGAAATACATTTTTATAGATTTTATTAAACAGTTTGTCTAAATATGGATTAATGCACAAATAACAGACTTTCCTCCATTCTAACGCAGATTTTCTATAAAATAGAGTTAGTTTACATCTCAAATTACTTTTCGTTGTAAAGAAATTTGTAATTTACAATGCTGCTTCTTCAAAAGCGGCTTCAAAAGTTTCTTTAAAATTCTCGTTAAAAGGCTGCTATAAATTCACTGAAAATTACGCATGAAAACGCCCCCCTTAATGTACATCTGCCCTTGTTGCTCTCGGTTAAAGTTCTGTGGGGGCGGGTTCCTTATTTCGGTTCTTATTGGGTCAATATCATTATTATACAGCGAAGAGAATAACCCCCAAAAACTAAAATAATGAAAATTGTTATTAGATAAAAAGATTTGCCACATTGACTCATTAAAATATTGTACGAATCTGCCCAGAGATGCATTTAGCGCGCGCCACTGTCCTACAGGGTTACGTCCTGCCTCGCAACCCGCCACCCTTCATGATCCCGGGTGTTTTTGTTCTTGAAAAGTACTCGTTTCCTGATGGATGCCTGATGAACAGAACATTACTCCACTCTTCAGTTTTTCACGCTGAACCGTCTTCCTATTGTTTTCAATGAGCGACTAAATATTTCAGCTTTCTGTTGCTTCCCCCTCTCTATATAATATTCATTGTGTACCGAATAACCTATTGAACTATTATGTGTATCTCGATAATCCCTATATGAGTACATTATTTATATTAAATGAATTTAGTAGCCGATCCTATGCCAAACATTTTTTGATTAAAAATGATTTTTTGTGCATGGAAATAAAAAAATTAATCCCAAAAACTACTAAGCGTACAAATTTGGATCTGCTTGAAAAGCTTATGGCATTAGTTTTTCTCTAATTCTATAGTTTGGCTAAAATTGAACTTTTACCCCATAGAATGCATCTTATGGGGACACCAGTCTTTGCAAATAGTTTCCATTAATGACATACGTAAGTAACAAACAATTCTATAAGTTTCCCTAGCAAAAGTAATGAATGACAATCGGCATTATACATGTTAAATCTGTTTTCTAATAATTTTTAAATTAATTAATTAATCCGATTTGAATATTAAGGAGTCGACAACGTTTTGGATTCATAGGACCTTACGAAGAAGCTTCTGATATCAGTATTTTCATAAAGTCGTTAGAATTGAAGTGTGGCGCCATCTATTCACAATCTAGAGAAATGGAACGTTATGATAGTTGATTCTAGATGGCGCTGAATAGTAACAAAATGAAATAAAATTCTACAAATATAATAATATACATTGAAAAACAGCTCAACGTCTAAGATAATCGCAAAAAATATTTAAAAATTACTATAATCATTGCCCATACCATGGGACAAGTGAGTTTCGAGTCGACAGAATAGCATTTTGAAAAGCCGCGCATCTGTGAGCATTCATATTTAGTAAAGCCTTTACCAAAAAAAAACAAGCTAGTAATGTTGGGAGATTGTAAAGATCGGATGCTTTGAACCAGTCGAAAAAGTTTAACTTTTAAATTTGTTAGGAAGTAGGTATTTGAATTAAGTGTGTGAAATAAATAATAGAAGCTATGTAATGTCCTTGAATTAAAATCAGATCAGTGTGCCATCTATCCACCAACTCTCGAAATAAGGAAGTTCATGGGATTAAGGTTAGATGGCTGTTTATAAATTAATCATTTTAAAAAATTAAATGTAAAGATAAAAGTAAAGAAAATCGTATAAAGACGAAAAGCCACTCTACTTCACAGTTTCCCACATGTGAAAAATTTGTAAAACGGTTAGAGGTAGGTACAAACCTTAGTATATTATTAGTTATATCCCTTTATTTAAATAATTGTTCATTATGTTCAGGATAGTACACTACATTTTTTATATTTTATATCTATAATAAATCTTTCGAAATATGTTACATATAATATATTGAAAATAAGTCAAAACCATAAAAAAAACGTATCCCAGTATTTTTTTTATTTTGCATTACTGTGAATTTTATTAGGATAGGTATTCGGACTATACATGTAAAACAAAATGAAAATTATTTTATTTATGTTTTTAAGAAAGGAATTTATTATCTGAAATTGTTAATTAATATCAATGATTTTAGACATATTTTAAGTTAATGTTAAAAGAGTGTAATGATAGTAAACATATCTAATCTATCTTAATTTCGGTTAAAAAACAATGACCCGCCTATTTAAAATTAGAACAAGATATTTAGTTTGTTTTTAATTTTATTGACATTTCTTCTTGAATTTGCATGGACAATGTATTGACCATTCTGAACGTAGCTCCCTGAAAAATTGTCACAGTTTTCACTGTTATCGATCGCACTTTGAACTAAAAGAAAACCAAAAACCAAAAGTTTGAAGTGACGTTTAGGAGTGACATAAAAGTCCTCTTGCCTCTTGGTTATTTTTAAATTAGAGTTACACCATGGCATCGAGAATTTTAAGAAATTTGGTAAGTATTTACGCATGAAACTTAATTAAATGAAAAAACGAGCATACCTAATTGCAAATATTAGTCAATATCGTTGGTTATAACGGTGTCGCATAAAGCGGTATTTCCCGGAAAAATGAGCGGATTTTTCAAGTATTTCATTGATCTTAAAAGTGGAAATGGCATCTACGATAAAATTAACAAATTCTTTAACAGAACTCCTGCAAAAAATCCTACAGAAAACATAAAACTAGTAAGTAGTTATATAACTTCTTGACAGTAGCCCTTTGACGTCCAATTAAAGGTTATGTCACATGTCAATTTTTTTATTTTCCTTTATTCTAGACTACCACGAAGCCCCTAGGAGCCCGTCTATTTAGCAGTGAAATAAAGAAATGTACAATAATTCCTGGGGATGGTATCGGCCCGGAAATCTCAGCCGCTGTACAACAAATCTTTACAGCTGCTAAGGTCCCGATCGAGTGGGAATCCGTAGACGTTACTCCAGTCAGGGTAAGTCACACACTTATACTAAAATAATAATTTTAATACATTAGTTTTGCGAGCTACAACCTAAATACTATGTAACAAACAATTATAGGGTCCCGATGGTAAATTTGGTATACCACAAGCGGCTATTGACTCTGTGAATCGCAACAAAGTGGGTCTGAAGGGCCCTCTGATGACTCCGGTAGGAAAAGGCCATAGGTCTCTGAATCTCGCATTACGTAAAGAATTTAATCTCTATGCCAATGTACGACCTTGCAGAAGTCTGGAAGGGTAAGGGTTACTTTTTTAATAATTTCAGGCATTTAGAGGATCCAAAAATGTATTTTTAATTACTTATTTTTATAAACTATGATTATCAATGAAATACGATAGACATAATCTGTTGATTTATTAGATTTTCTTTGAATTAAAAAATTTAAATTAATTAGCAATTTTTTACGATTAAAAACAAAGTGGTGAGGAAACTACTTAAAATTAACTCCATATATAAATTTACAGAAAAGCACGCCCGGTCAGAAACCCTGCCTGTTGAAACTTAATATAAGAAGTGGACAGTGAAGTGTTTGAAATCGACCGAATCGTTTCCTTACTGACCGATTTCTGTTGCAGATACAAAACTCTGTACGACCACGTCGACGTCGTTACGATACGTGAGAACACGGAAGGCGAATATTCAGGGATTGAACATGAAATCGTGGAAGGTGTCGTTCAGAGCATAAAATTGATCACCGAGGACGCGTCGTGGAGGGTGGCCGAATTCGCCTTCCAATATGCCAAAGATAATAACAGGAGGAAGGTCACCGCCGTACATAAGGCTAATATTATGTGAGTTTTCGATTTCTTAACAATTCTTCAGTTTTCAAATCAAGCCCATCAATACTCATTAATCAATTAAATAATCAATTATATAATTATTCGTTAATTAATTAACAATTTAAATAATTAATTCATTAATTAATTAACAATTTAATTAATTAATTAAATTGTTAATTAATTAGTCGATTATATAATTATTGATTAATTCATTAATTAATTAATATTTTGTAATTTTATTAATCAATAATGAATGGATGATGAATTTTAAATATGCATAAAGTTTTTGAGATTTTTTCCAATATCGATGCAGTTTTGAGATTTTAGATGTTATCCTCAAGTTCATCTTGAAAACCCCTCACGATTACTCATATTTACGATATTTCAAGTGTTCTAACTTTCCGTTATCTTTTATTGTTTTACAATAGTTTCCTATCTTGACTCTGTCGCGTCTGGCTGATATGTTTATATTGGAGTCTAGTCTAGACAATAAATTATTTCGCAACGGGTGATAACTTAATCCGTTTCTAATTGCGGTACCGGCTTGCTCTTGATTAATTTCCAATTTAGTCATCGATAAGATTAGATAAACTGTTAATTATGTAAGAGATGCTCGTGAAGATTACTGAAACGAGTGCCCAAAATATTTAAAACAGTTAGTCGTGTTTATTGATGATAAACGCGGCAGTTATCTGAACGATTTCCATTGCTTGAAAAATTTTCTTTGCGGAAAATTTTGTCTTTTTTCTTAGAAATCTCATTGATACTGAAAACCACTAATAAAGCTTGTAAAATTTTAAGTGGCATCGAAATTCTTAAGCTTTTAGCGGACTTGTGATTAAATGAACCCAAGTTTCGTCAATCTACATCGGACATCCTCAGAGATATCTTTCGGTTTTTCTAATATCGACACCCTTTATCTCACGAAAACGAAGCATTTACGAACCACGTTCAAATGAAATCTTTTGTTAAGAGGGTTCTATAGCAAATAGGCAACCAGCGATACATTTTTATAGATTTTATTACACAGTTTGTCTAAATATGAATTAATGCACAAATAACAGACTTTCCTCCATTCTAACGCAGAGTTTCTAAAAAATGGAGTTAGTTTGAAACTTAAATTACTTTTTGTTGTAAAGAAATTTGCAATTTGCCGCTTTTGGCATCGTAAATTACAAATTTCTTTACACCAAAAAGCAATTTGAGTTTCAAACTAATTCCATTTTATAGAAAATCTGCATTAAAATGGGGGAAAGTCTGTTATTTGTGCATTCATTCATATTTACACAAACTGTGTAATAAAATCTATAAAAATGTATTGCTGGTTGCCTATTTGCCATAGAGCCTTCTTAAAATAATTTGTTCTGTCATCATATCATTTAAAACCTGGATCGCTCCGTGAAAACAAGCTTTTCACTTATCAACCCCCTTTCCAGGCGTATGTCTGACGGCCTGTTCTTGAGATGCTGCAGGGAAATGGCTAAAAAATACCCGGACGTTAAATTCGAGGAGAGATACCTCGACACCGTCTGCCTCAACATGGTGCAGGACCCGACGTTGTACGACGTACTGGTGATGCCGAACCTGTACGGTGACATTCTATCCGACATGTGCGCCGGTCTCGTCGGAGGGTTGGGCCTCACGCCGTCCGGCAACATCGGAATTAACGGGGCCTTATTCGAGTCGGTAAGCGAAACGGTTTCGTCGTAATTTCATTTACTCTCATACGGTTTGTTTCAGGTGCACGGTACCGCCCCCGACATCGCCGGGCAGGATAAGGCCAATCCCACCGCCCTCCTCTTGTCCGCCGTGATGATGCTGAGGTACATGGGTCTGAACAGTCACGCTTCCGTCATCGAGAACGCCTGCTTCCAGACGATCAAGGAGGCGAAGTATCTCACCGGGGACCTGGGGGGCAAGGCCAAGTGCTCGGAGTTCACGAACGAGATCTGCGAGAAGATCGGCAAAACTGCGTAGGATTAGTAAACAGTAAGAATGCTCATTAAAAGTATCGTTACGTAAGATGACAGATTGACATTTTTGATTTTCTCGTTAGCCCGTTTTCTGTATATAAGTGTTTTTAGCTCGGCCCCTCGGGAACGTTGGGCGTAACGTGTATATACAGGCTAGTCTAGATGGAGTTATGTTTATTTTGTCCAAAGTTGCCGTTTTATCGAGGCAAGTAGTCAGCATTTTTACGTCCTTTCGAAACTCAAAGATATTTTTAGTTTAATGTCATCATGCTGTAGAGAATTTTATTTATACGTTTTACTAATGCAATTTATTTATTTATGTCGTCCTATAAGAATAAACATGTTGCGAGATGTTCGTCGTTTGTTTTTAAACTCCCCCGTCGAAGGTTCCCTAAACGTCTAACTTGTAAATCTGAAAAGCGTGATCGAGTTCGGAGACAAAAATTTTTCTTGCACGATGGAAGTTCCGAGTTACAAGTCAAAAAAAACATTTTAAGTCGGAAAGGTCCAACTTGTAAATCGGAAAAGTATTTTCAAAAAAAAATTGACTTTCAGGTGCGAAAACAAAAATTTGGTGTTCTGGAAAAAGTTTTATTTACAAAATTGAAATTCTGAGTTAGAACTCAAAAAATATTACTTCAAGTCGGAAGAATTCAATTTGAAAGTCGGAGAAATAAATTTACTACTTTTAAAGAAATATCCGAGTTATAAGATCAGAAGAATATATTTCCGAGTTGGAAAAATATAATTCCAAGCCAAAAAAAAATTGACACAGGAATAAGTGGCGAGTTGCAAATAGTACAATTATTCTTATCGGAAAGACCCAACTCATGTCAGAAAAGTGTAAAATAGAAAAAATCCAAGTTGGAAAAATATAAATCCAACTTACAAGATGAAAGTTCTGGGGTACAAGTCAGAGAAATATTCAAGCTCAGGAAAATTTGCCCTTCAGAGGGTTTTATAGCAAATAGGCAACCAACAATACATTTTTATAGATTTTATAGGGTTTGTCTAAATATGAATTAATGCACAAATAATAGACTTTCCTCCATTCTAACGCAGATTTTCTATGAAATGGACTTTGTTTGAAACTCAAATCCCTCTCTGGTGTAAAGAAATTTGTAATTTACGGTGGGGTTTGTTCAAGAGCGGCAAATTACAAATTTCTTTAAAACAAAAAGTAATTTGAGTTTCAAACTAACTCAATTTTATAGAAAATCTGTGACAGAATGGAAAAAAGTCTGCTATTTGTGCACTAATTAATATTTATTAAGACAAACTATGTAATAAAATCTATAAACATGTATTGCTGGTTGCGTACTTGGTACTGAAATACAAATTTTTCAGTGGGATTTTCCTTACTCGGAATAATACTTTTAACTTGTAACCTGGACCTTTTATCTTGCAAGTCAAATGTACCCAGAACATTTTTTTGACTCTTCAAGAATTGTTTCGAACCTATCTTACTCGGAATAATATTTTAGCGAATAGGCAGCCAGAAATACAAATCTGTAAGAGATGCTCGTGGAGATTATTGAAACGAGTTCCCGAAATATTTAAAACAGTTAGTCGTGTTTATTGATAATAAACTCGGCAGTTATCTGAACAATTTCCATTGCTTGAAAAATTTTCTTTGCGGAAAATTTTGTCTTTTTTCTTAGAAATCTCATTGATACTGAAAACTACTAATAAAGCTTGTAAAATTTTAAGTGGCATCGAAATTCTTAGGCTTTTAGCGGACTTGTGATTAAATGAACCCAAGTTTCGTCAATCTATATCGGACATCCTCAGAGATATCTTTCGGTTTTTCTAATATCGACACCCTTTATCTCACGAAAACGAAGCATTTACGAACCACGTTCAAATGAGGGTTCTATAGCAAATAGGCAACCAGCGATACATTTTTATAGATTTTATTACACAGTTTGTCTAAATATGATTTACTACACAAATAACAGACTTTCCTCCATTCTATCGCAGATTTTCTATAAAATGGAGTTAGTTTGAAACTCAAATTACTTTTTGTTGTAAAGAAATTTGCAATTTGCCGCTTTTGGCATCGTAAATTACAAATTTCTTTACACCAAAAAGCAATTTGAGTTTCAAACTAACTCCATTTTATAGAAAATCTGCGTTAAAATGGGGGAAAGTCTGTTATTTGTGCATTCATTCATATTTACACAAACTGTGTAATAAAATCTATAAAAATGTATTGCTGGTTGCCTATCTGCTATTGAGCTCTCGTGAATATAAATATTTTGCGTTATACCTGACTTACAAGACGGAAATTGCAAGTTACGAGTCGGGAAAATATTTCTCCGAGTTAAAAAAATGCAATTAGTTCGGAAAAATAATTCCGATATGTAACTCGGAACTTTTAGTTTGTAGGTCGGTCCTTCTCATTTAAAACCCAAAATTATATTTCTCCGACTCGGAAATATATTTTTTCGACCGTGACTAGGATCCTCCGTCTTATAACTCAGATATTTCTTTTAAAAGTAGTAATTTTATTTCTCCGCTTTATAAATTGAATTTTTCCGACTTTTTGACTTCTAACTCCGACCTTCAATTTTGTGAGTAAAACTTTTCTCAGAAATTTCTATTTTTCGCACTTGCAAGTCCAATTTTTCTTAATATACCACCCCTTCTTCCACACAACTCTCTATTCGGTGAAAAAAGTTTGTTTTTTCAGAATAATCAAAGTAAATATTTATTTATATAGTGCAATATAATATCAAAACAAATATGTGAAAATATTTAAAAAAAAAATCAATCAGTGGTGGAAGAGACGGAGATTAGTATGGGCCATCACAATTTTGTGCTCATTGCAAGCTTTAATAACTTCCTCGTCGTTAGTAGAACCGGCCGGACTGCCGACGAAAGACACGCCACTCTGGAAAATAAAATTTCTCAATGAAATACAAGACCGAAAAAAAATTTGCAAGAATTTACCAGCCGGGCCCTGTCTATATTGTCACGGAACGGGAAAAACGCGTCCGACCCCAACGCCACACCGGACAGCTGGCTTAACCAGGTCCTGCGTTCACTTTCCGTAAACTCGACGGGCACCTCGTTATACATAGCCTCAAAAATAGCTCGGTCCATATCCTTCCCTGAAAAATACAGAAGTTTTTTGTAACGTTTCATTCTGGAATCGAAAACAATCGTCCCGAGATCCGAGATTTCCGCCCTGAAAACTAACTTACCGACCGAGCCGTTGACGAAGTTATCGATAGCGTTCGATATTTCCGCCCTCTTGACCCCCTTCTTGAACTTCATATTAAGAACCTTGGGGTGCTGCCTCAGCCACCAGTTATCCGCCTTGTCGCCGGCCAGCCTAGTGCAGTGGATCCGGGACTGTTGACCCGCCCCGATACCGACAACCTGACCGTCCCTGGCGTAGCACACGGAGTTGCTTTGTGTATATTTCAAAGCGATCGTGGCCACTATCAAGTCCCTGACAGCGGATTCCGGGAGATCTTTGTTATCAGTCACGATATCGGTAAAGAGGGAGGAATCGATAACCGCGTTGTTTCTCTGCTGTTCGAGCGTCAAGCCGAACAGGACTTTCCTCTCGATAGGATCGGGAATGTAATCGGGGTCAATCTGTAAAAAAATTTATCATCGTTTGTCGGGGTGTTTTTATGGTAGTGTTACCTGGAGGATGCAGTAGTTCCCGTTCTTCTTCTTCTTAAGTAGTTCAAATGCCTCTGGCGAGTATCCGGGTGCAATTATGCCGTCCGACACTTCTCGCGATACCAGCCTGGCGGTTATGTAGTCGCATTCGTCCGAGAGGGCCACGAAGTCTCCGAAGGAGGACATACGGTCTGCGCCTCTGGCTCTCGCGTAGGCCGTGGCGAGAGGAGTTAGTTTTTCTTGTAGGTCGTCCACCATACAGAGTTTTGCCTAAAATTAATTATGGGGTCAATTTCGACACTTTTGGTGGTTTTCTCTATTTCCTGAAGAGGCAGAGAAGAAGTAGTTGTTAAGGCTCAGACTCGATTTTCAAAAAAAAAAAAAATGCAAGAGATAAATGTTTATAAATTTTAGTTGTTTTCTCTACAAAAATTTTTAATTGTGAAGTTTTTACATCTATTTTACTATCTACACGAGATGATTTCCTAACGGATTGAATTTTTTGTTATTTAGTTACGGAATTTACCAGTTTTATCAATTTTTTAGACAGTAGAGTATTATACACTCAAACTTTTATTATAGTTGCTTCAATAATCGTTGTTTATGTTTTTGATTTGAATTGCAAAATAAGAAAAAATGATAAAATGTAAATTAGGAAACTCTTGACCTTTCTTTATATTTTGATAAATCGTTTTTATTCATATTTTACGAAATAACATTGCAAAATGGTTAAGCAAAAGCAGAAATTTTACAGCTTTGAATTATATTAGATTTAAATTATGAACTTCAAAGAATTTATTTGAAAAACATTTACGTCATAAAATTTTATCTAATTTACAACATGATAAAACTATAAAAATTTTGAAATGCAGTCAAATTGTCGAAAATACCTCGTTTTTTTACCAAAATAGTTCCGTAAACAAACACGTAAAAATTAGGAAAAATTCGCTTCAATTTCAAAATAGCGTCCAAAGTTCGCAAGTTTTTTTCATTTAAAAAAAAATTTTTAGACGAAATTTGTAGAAAATTTTATAACAAAAATATTGAACCCAGCCTTCTATATCTTTAAAACGAAAAAAGATTTTTTTACGAAACTTTCAGAATATGTAGTCCTTGGCAAGTAGAATAAGTGCGTTTTTGTAAAATTGCAAAATATTTGAGTTTTTGCAAAAATTGAGTTTTTCAAAACAAAAACATTTTTTTCAAGTTTCAATAAATCATACAGTGATGCACTTACGTGACCCATCTTGGGCTTAAAATTTTCTCCAAGAGTTGCACTTTCCTGTGCAAATTGTGCGCGTATTACAAAATAATTGGAAATATGCGAAAAATCTACCGAAACTTTGACTTCTTTCTGAAATTTACACATGTTGTAGTCGAATACTTTTACTTCAATATAAAAAATAGTCCGCAATGATCGACCCCCTTTTTTTTACAGTAAACTTAATTTCGTTGGACCCCGTAAAATGCTTGCTCCGCTCCACACAACAAACAACCGTTCAAAATTGAGCGAGCACTAACTGAGAACGCTGAGTCACATTCTTTCTCCCCCCACCACGAGCATCAACGTCGTATCAATGAAATTTTAAGGTTCTAACATTTCAACACCCTGTGTCTCAAACACACAACATTCGTACATTTCTTTTTCTTTGAAATGACCCAAGGAATCACCACTTTTACCAACGGAGAGTACTTTTTTTATATTTTCTTCAACTGATTGAAAAATATGTTGGTTTAAGCAAAAAAAAAAAATATTTACCTGGTTTCCGTTCAATGGAACCCCCACCGCCGCCCCAGCAGGTGAAACGTGCTTAAAACTGGCCGCAGCGGGCAAACCTAAAGAAGCTTTGAGCTCCTTAACCAGCTGCCAACCGTTGAGGGCGTCGCAGAGGTTTATGTATCCCGGGGAACCATTCACGACAGTGAGTGGTAACTTCGATAAAGTAGTGTAAAGTTGAGCAGGCTTCTGATGTGGATTCATGCCGTATCGTAGAGTCAACTGTGAGACGCCGTTCGAAAACTGCTTGCGGAAATAATCGGAAATTGCCAAGTCGTAGTCCGACGTGTGGGTGAAAGCCTTAAGGGCCAAAGCTTGTCTGAAATATTTAACGTTACAAAAAGTATTGTTAACGATCAGTTTTACAAACCTGGTTTCGAGAGACGTATCCTTATTTGGATTACTTCTTATTTCATTGATAACCTTTCCATAATCGGAAGGATCGCAAATTACAGTGACCCTAGAATGGTTTTTGGCTGCCGCTCTTAACAGAGTCACGCCGCCGATGTCAATATTCTCGACCGCATCGGCTACATCAACATTGGGTTTTGAGACCGTTTCGACAAATGGGTATAAATTACAGACAACGATTCTTATCATTTCAATATTCTGCGCTTTCAAATCGGCCTGGTCTGATGGTATCAACCTAAAAAGTCAAATCCAGGTAGTAATGAAAGAAATAGGTAACGAATCTGGGAAAAATAATTATTCACCTTGATAAAATTCCGCCGTGTACTGCTGGGTGCAAGGTTTTAACCCTGCCCCCCAATATTTCAGGGGCTCCCGAAATATCAGATACATCCTTAATGGAAAGGCCTGCACCTCTAAGGATTGCAGCAGTACCACCGCTTCCCACTAATTGGAAGCCTAAGCTACTCAAATTTTTACCTAATTCTATCAAGCCATTTTTGTTCGAAACGGACAATAATGCTGAAAAAAAATAGCACAAACGAATTATTTACAAACGAAATGTCTTTCAAAAAATATTAATAACTTCTAACAAATGGTTTTTTTAAATAGGTACTTTACCATTCATTCTTCTTAAATCGTAGATATTTTTATTTTAAATGTTTGTATAGGTTATGTACACCATGTGTTCACTTACCGATATTTCCACCTGTTGCCATTATGATTATATTTTAAAAAATCGTATAAAATTGAAAGCTGGATATACTTATTATTATTTTTATCACTATTCGACTTTACCACCAGCAAAGATCAACTAATAAATTTGATAAACCGCCGTTTGTTTAAATTTAACGTGACGATTTAGTAATGCAGGAGGTCAGAAGCAGAGGTCATCATAATGATAAACTTAAATTGATTAACTAATCACTGCTATTTATTGTTATAAGAAAATATGTTTAATATTGACCACATACATGTGTTTATGTTATTCATTAGTTTATGTTAATTAGCGATAACTGTATTTTTGCCTTATTATTACTTTGTTTTTGAGAGTACCTACCAAATATATCATGAAAAATAAATTAATAAATCAATGAAACGATTGCATGATCAATATGTAAAAATCTACAACTGCAAGCAATATATTTATATTTTATAGAACTAAGAAAATCAAGTTTTCTCTAGCACCAGCATATATATAATATAAAAATTTGAAAATGTACACTTTTTATAACAATCACTACTCGAAAATGTGCATTTTTCATCCCCCTCCCTCATTTTCAATGTATTAAATTTTAAATATCCAGTTAAATTAACTTTTAGTCCTTGTTATTCATAATTTAAACAAAGGCGCCATCATCCATAACCACAGAAAAAAATTACAATGGAAACTGACATGTCTGTTCTGTAATTAATTGAACTATAGCATGTAAGAGTTGATCATCTTTTATCCTCCAAAGGTTAATAATAAAAATGGGAAATTCTTTGAGTAGATGTTTAATATTCACAGTCAAAAAGAAATGTGCATGTGGGCAAAAAAAAGCTATAACTGAATAATCTTGAAACACTTTATGATTACACTGCTATTAATTTTTGAAACTTATACCTAAAAATGGTTTCGTCCTTAGCGTCATTCAAATGGTCATTCGTTGAAGATCATTCTCTCCACATCTGTGCTCTTGATCATGAATGGAACACGCCTGTTTCTTTTATGTAGAAACTAGTGATGGGCATAATCGACCAAATTTGATAATCGAGTACTTCTAATAATCGAGTGATCACTCGAGATACGAGATATTGATCGTTTTCATCCCAGCGGCGCACAAATATGTTTGTATTAGTCATATATTACTTATAAGCGCAATCAGTGACTATTTGCAGTATGCACTAAAATTTTGGGGTGCAACCGTAGGGTAATAATCACTCGAGTGGTGGGAGTAAACATCTCGAGATATCTCGAGTGATCTCAATAATCGAGTACCACTCGATTTTTCACTCGAAATCTCCCATCACTAGTAGAAACGGTATATGACAAATGACAGATCAAATATCAAATTCCTGATTCTGTAATCCACAGACTATATCTGTAATCTATGCGTCAAATGTAATAAAATTTATGTCGATAAATTTTATTACTCATTCAGTTATTTAAAGAATTTCTAATTGAACAAAATGAATAGATTATTTGGGAAAGGAAAACCAAAAGAACCTGGCCCGAGTATAAACGACTGTATATCGGGGGTAAGAAGCTAGATGAGTAACAAATTAGAAAATGTATAATGTATTCTTAATTTCCTTAAAATTCTAGGTAGACCAAAGGGCCGAGGGCGTAGAGAAAAAAATAAACGCCCTCGAAAATGATCTGCGGAAATTTAGAGACCAGTTGTCCAAAATGCGCGAAGGCCCTGGTAAAAACGCAGTTAAAGCTAAAGCATTGCGGATCCTGAAGCAGAAAAAGATGTACGAAAACCAACTGGACAACTTAAGAGGCCAGTCCTTTAACATGGAACAAGCGAATATGGCTCACCAAGCTTTGAAGGACACCCACACCACCGTAATCGCTATGAGAGATGGAATGAAACAGATGAAAAAAGAATTCAAAAAGATTAACCTCGACGATATCGATGTAAGAATAAATACTTGCACGAGTATTTAAGGTAAATTTAATCCATATTTGTAGGATGTTCAAGATGAGCTTGCAGATATGCTAGAACAAGCCGACGAAGTACAGGAAGCTCTGGGTAGAACTTACAATACTCCAGAATTGGACGACGATGAACTGGCAGCGGAACTGGATGCTTTGGGAGACGAAATAGGTCTGGACGACGACCAGAGTTACTTGGACGATGTGCTTAAAGCGCCCGAGGCTCCAAGTACCAAACCGGAAGCCGATGCAGAGAAAAATAAGGTAATGGCACAGATAATTAGCACAGTGATGCTGCATGGTTAATTATTTATATTTTCTTTCAGGATGGCGTCTCTGTTGACGAATTCGGACTGCCGCAGTTGCCCAGCAGACATTAACATTCTTAATTATTACAAATCGTATTAAATGAAAATATATATGGAATAAGTATTTTTTAATTTGTTGAATAGTTTTGGAAATGTACAATAAAAGGATACAAATTTATGAATAAAGAGCAGTGATTAGTTTGATCGTAGTCGGTACAAGTAAGCGGTTTATATTTTATTTAGAATAACGTGGTTTTAAACCAACGTACACTTAATTCCTGCATGGCTTCTTCTGCGTTTCTTGTTCTTTGTACATAAATTGATGTTAAACTACTTGTAATAACCAAATATCACGTTTATTTTAGGCACTTTGCTAACGGTATTGTACATTGTTACATTTTTATATATTATTACTGTGATTGTTTTATAAAATATACATATATGCTTTTTATCAAATAAATTACAAGTCTTTTAATGGTGTAAGTCTGGGAATTTTAACGGGACTCATGTTTTCTATCTCACGATAAGCATTTATCACCCCCCTAAAAGACTCGTGGCAATCGAGGAAGAAGTCGCGGTCGAATCCAGAGATTTTCGTGTAGTGATGAACGTGTGCCTAGAAAAACCACCGATTCAATTATCGTTCCAAGCCAAAGCAACATATTACCTTCTTTTTGTACAACTTCGTGAACTGTCCGTGGATGTGATCGAATAAATTCACCACAGACGTCGTATTGTGCAGGGAAAACATCGCTAGAGTAGCGTTTTTTGGCGGTACGTCGCACAAACCTAATTTGATAGATTTAAAAGCCCACGGTGCGAACTTTCCCTTGTTCTGAATCTTTTCTACGTAACCGTTCATGTCCGATAACGAGAAACCTCCCCTGCCTATCAGTGTTGTCGCCATAAGAACAGATTTTGGACCTTAAACAGCAATCACTGATATACGCTCTTTTGTTGAATCACATTCAATTGTTGACACTAAGATTCGCAGACTAAACAGAGTGCTTCAAAAAAATAATAAATAACTCACTTGAGATACAGTAACAGAAATAATTACTTACCCAAAGGGTCGACTTTAACCAGTTGGTTCAATCTGCTACATGACGCTACGAACAGCTCGTCTTTAAGTTGCTTGCTAAAATCTTACGGATACAGCTTTGTATCTTTGACAAAATTAATAATGCGATAGTTTACCTTGGCTTTTTTCCATTTTTTAAACTACTGTACGGACAAGGATTGAAACCCGAAGAGAGGAAATTTAACTTCGGGAAAGGCACCATATTGGTGTTCAGTTCGTTCATGTCAAAGTTTAAACTCCCCGGGAAACGTGACCCACTAAAAAATTATTAAAATTAACAAAAAGTTTGTTACTTTTTTAAAAAGTACCTTGTAACGTGTAAAAGCATATTGACGATTATATTATTCATATCGTTAAAAGGCGTGTATAAAGAACTGATATCTCCAGACTGTTTTTTCGCCTGTCTCTCAACGATATCCAACAGAGACCGATTTTCTACCGGAAAAACACAAGTTGCGTTATCCAGTAGTTCTTTTGTAGCAAATCCCATATTATAGGGACAAGTGACGACGTCTTCCGTGCCCGTTGGGTACACACAAGCGACAAACCTAACGCACATAAAAAATAATAAAAATTTAACTCTGTTAATGTGTCGTTACCTTTCTATTTCGGGGTAACAATCAGCCAGCAACTTTAATACGAAAGTGCCCAACCCAGAACCCGTTCCCCCTCCGGTAGAAAACAACAATAAAAATCCATGTAAGCTATCGCATCTCTCGACGGCATGTTTAATAGAGCTTAATATTTTCTCTGCATAAATCGGTCCATATTCGTAGTATCCTTCTGCCCAATTATTTCCAGATCCGGGGTAATTAGTGATAAAGCATTTTTTATCGAAAATATCTTTTAATACCCCTTGTCTAAATCTAGCTACGACGCTGTCTTCCATATCAATACATACAGCCTAATAATGCCGCATTTTATTTAAGGACAAACTGTTTAAAAAGACTTACCCTAGCTTTAACTTTATTGTTGATTAATTCGGCCAAGGTGCCACATGCCAAGTCGCTTTTCGATGAGGTATTAAAAAAACTAGAAAGCGGCTTTGGAGTTAAGGTATCACCAGTCTTTTTCTTATCTTCGGAGTATAAATTAATGTCATATTCTTGTAATATCAAGGGCCACAGTGCGCTGCCAATTTGGTTCCCGCATTGACCAACTAATAATGAAATGTTGGAATATTTGAACAGTGGAGAAATATTTAAATAAACACGGAATCTTACCTTGTATAACTACAAACTCACTCATATTTAAGGAAATATAGAAATGTTTGGATAATACAAACAATGAATTATTTTCCAAGCAGTTTGGTAAAACCCCACTTGCAAAATTTGAATTGAAAAATATGGCCAATAGGAACGTGCATTCAAGATGGTGGAAAATTAATTATGTTATGTTGGTCACTGTGCAATGTCAGAGATTTCTGAAATATACTTCTGATTTTTAAATATAATCATACAATTCACGTTGAATATTACAATTATATACCTAAAAAAAAAATTTCCTTTGTTATATTGTGGTAGTTTCAGCTGGAAAGTCGTAAATATTTTGTGCAAAAAAATCGTTATATTTCTGCAAGAACGAAACACCTCATTGGTTAACTGCACAAATGCCTCTAAAAAATAAAAATATCAAATATTTGGTCGTCGTCTGTGTACTGTGATGGTTAAATTCTTATTTTTATATTTTTATTTACAGTCCTTTAGTTATTTAATGAACCATGCCATCGATTCTTAATTCATTCAGTGTACTTCTTATTATCTCACCGTTTTTTTTAAGTTGTTCAGTGACATTGGCGGGAGGTACGTAATTAAATTTTAGGTTATGACTATGTTTATTTAAATTTTTGTATATTTTTTTTAGTACACTACTTGGAAAATGGGGATGTACACAATTTCAAGCCGAACCATGATAGATCCGAATTACGAACGTTTTGTTATAAAGGAAGACCAAAATACATAATACATATTTGGCAAAGTGTTATAGTAGGTCGATGAAATATATAAATAAACATACAACATAGTAACTATTTATATTTCAGCTTCAAATAGATCATGTTACTGATGATTATACTCAATATGAGGGCCCCAATCCCGAGCAGGTACAGAAAAAACACTTAGAAAATCGTTACTCTTGGTCGTTCGATTTATTTACTAGTAAGCAGAAAGCTATAAAATTGAATCCTTTCAACACGAGTTGCATTGGAGTTGTCAGTAAGGAACCCTATGCTGTCAACCTTAAAGTTATAAGTAAGTGGTCTTGGATCGCATAATAAAAAATATAATTATATAGTGCATGTTTATATTATACTGCGACACGTTTTTTCAGGAATAGACCTTTGGAAGGTCCTTTTGTTGGTTTCTGGAGTGTCGCTGTTCACGTCTGCGGGAAAACTTAGCAACAATAAAGTATTTCACTACCTTTGCGGTGTGTCGCTTGGGATATGTGCCTCGTTTTTAATACTCATTTACTACATCAGCAAATTGGTCCCGAGGGTAAGAATCAATCAATATTTGAACCGTACCTAATTATCCTTCAATTTATTTTTAGAAACCGTTAATGTACAGCGTGCTCGGATGTGGCTGGACGATTACAGTATACGTCCTGCAACTGCTTTGGGAGAACCTAAGGACGATTTTTTCCGGTTATAAAACATACGTAATGTGGTACACTGTTATTACGGGAGTAATCAGTTTTATTCGTAAGTAAAAATATTTTGTACGTTCTATTTGTACGCTCGATTTTTTCTCGATTTATAGTGTGCTACAGATGGGGGCCAGTAGAAAACGTGAGAACGAAAAATTTGATAAAATGGAGTCTCCAGTTGCTCGGTCTGGCATCGATATATTGCAGTACCCATTTCGAAGAGGCTGCCGTTGGTCAAATCGTGATATTACTGATAGTTTATAACCTTCCGAAAAAGTGGATAGCGGCACCCAAAACTTACTGGTAAATAGTTTATTAGAGTATATATTTATTAAATAATAATGTTTTGGATGTTTTTAGGAAGAAAAAGTTCCCTCCGAAACTGAAAATGTTAACAAACGACGAGTATTACGAGCAAGGCGTTAGAGAAACGGCAAAAGCCCTCGATGGATTACGTCAGTTTTGTTCAAGTCCGGAGTGTAATCAGTGGAATACGGCGTTGAAACTTAAGGATGTTAAAAGGTTAGTGAGCCAAAACATCTTATACCGTTCGGTGTAACTCACATTAACAGATGAAATCTGAAATTTTGATAAAACTTTCATGGGTATACAGTTTTTTTACAGATGCCTACAATTGCAACTTTACAGTTGTCAACTGTTTATCATTTGTCAGAAAACATATGTAACTAACTGTCTAAAACTGTTTATTACTTGTTTCTCAGTCTACTAGATTAACAGTTGCAATTGTAACTTTACATTTATAAACTGTTTGTCATTTGTCAGAAGACCTATGTAACTAACTGTCTAAAACTGTTTATTATTTGTTTCTGAGACTACTAGATTAACAGTTGCAATTGTAACTACATCTGTCAACTGTTTATCATTTGTCAGAAAACTAACTGTCTAAAGCTGTTTATTATTTGTTTCTTAGACTACTTGATTAACAGTTGCAATTGTAACTTTACATTTGACTGTTGCAACTGTAAATTGTGTAAATCTTAGGAACGTAAACAAAATACATGTTTTTTCTGTCTATTTCTGTTATTGACTTGCTAGATGCAATAAATATTTATTGCATTTATTTATTTATTTAGATTTGCATCCTTTATCGAAGGGAATTCCCACTTGAGCGACGAAGAGATCTTAGAATACGAAACGTCCACCCAAGGAGATTTAACGGATGACGAAGACCGAAGCGAGTCCCTTACCGACGAGGAAGACTTTTAAAGACTGACAATCATATTTATTTTCATCAAAAGAATTAAACATTTTCTAGTGTACATACATTACTGTAAAATACAGTTACTTTTTACGAACGGGGGGTGTTTTTAATTTTCTAAATTGTGGGACGAGTCATTTTCGTTGATGAAAAGCAATTCGTTGTCGCAGAACGATTTCGATCTGAAGAAAATTTCGCTCAGCAACAAATTTTCCGTTTCCAAGTTGGCGTTTTGCGGAGAAAAGGCGTAGGTCTGGTTAACAGGGATTTCTTGAAAGTGCAACCTAAAAAGTATTATCGCTACAAATTGTAAGTTATTTATGGAGAAATGGAACTTACTGATCCTCCGTTTGGGTCTCGACGGTGTTCGATACGGGTTTTTTGGTGTACTGTATCAGCATGCTGTTTAGATCGTTTATTATAGTGATGGCGTATTTTAATTTATTTTTATATCTGTTGGATTTCTGCGCGTTTTCTTCGTTCTGACTCTTAATGGTGTTGTAACTCAGTTGCAATGCCTTCGTTTCATCCTCGATTTTCTTTAACGTCTCTTTTTCGGTTTTTGTTTTTGAAATTTCCAACCGTAGTTGCTCGTTTTCCGATTTCAGCTGGACTATCTGAAAAAGCGTTGAAAAATTGCATTGGAAAATATTAAATTTGTCTGTGTACCTCCTCGATTTGTTTCTTCTGCTGCTGCAAACATTTCTTGCTGTTGTCGATTAAGTGCGCCTCGTTCATTTTGATGTTATTCTGAATTTGGTTTAAATCATCGTCAAATTTCGCCCTGTTCTCCTCCATGTCTTTAAGCAGAGCCTCGTTTCTGTTACGCAGGGCGTTGGTTTCTTTTTTCAATAAAGTGTTCTCACTTTGCAATTTAGCGTTGTCGCACAAGATATCTTGCATTTCCGCGAGAAGATCCGATATTGTGTGGACATTGTCGTTCTTCTTGTTTATTCCAGAGGAGAAGTTCCTGAGCTGGTTGGATTTTGATACTTTTTTATCCATGAAAATGGGATCTAATAGCCAGATAGGAGGTGACATCTCTGTAATTTTGACAAGTTGTCGAATTTTATGTCGGTTTTAGAAACATTTGCAATCGGTAAACGGGATCTACAGTACCTTGATAAATGGCTGAGTCCCGCGTAACCTCGAGTGTTAATTGAGGAATAAAAATGAAAAAATTACGTACGTCTCTGAACTAACATTCAATCTAGTGTCCTAGTTGCTGATTTTTCCTTTCTGAAGTACCAACTTAAGAACAATAAATTTACTAAGACCCAAAACAAGTCTGGTCATGTGGGACTCGGGTATTTATGAAAGCACCGTCTAAATATCGATGACACCAAAATCTGGCTTTAAACTATATTAGGTGTAACATAAATCACCGAGTGATCCATTAATTTGGCAAAGTTCAAAGCTCTGTTGTCGTCGAAGACACAAACATGTTCAAATCAAAGTTGGTCCATCAGCATCACCCTGTATATTTGAAAATAATTTAAAAAAAACATTTTTTGGTCGTTTGGTATCACTTTTTGCAATTAAAAAATAATTACACAAAAATGTGTTGAATTTATTAAATATTAAAAAAAATTATAATAGATTTTTATAAATTTTATCAGTAGAAATTCTTTAAAAAAAATGTTAAGCGATATTAAAAATTAATTTTAAATATAAAATCCGCTATTTATTAAATAAAATAACGTTTATATTAGAGATGTGTCGCGGACATGTCAGTTGGACATGTCGTGAAAAGTGGACAAGTCCTTTTCACCTTTCAAGATTGAGAAGTTGTATGCGCATTCATAATTCCCGCAAAAAATTTTTGAGGTTGGTACATGTACAATTAAAGATATTTAGCCATTTTCTTGTAATTTTGTTGGCAATTGTTTAACTGAAACTGACGTTTTAAAAATATAACCTCTTAAGTCCATATTTTATTATTTTTGGCAAAGTTAACGATTAGCAAATAGTATCAGTTGATTCTTAATTAAATATTTAATACACAAATAGTTTATAAATGAAGTATGACGCCAAAATCAACAGTTTGGTTATATTTTTCTGAATTGAGCAAAAATCATTGTAAATAACTTCTGCTCAAAAACAATTTTTAAGAATTACAGTAGGATGGAAAAACATTTAAATAAGTGTATTGGCTGTCCGGGGAAAATTAGAAATCAGTTTATAAAAAAGTCTAAAGGTAGGTAATAAGTAAAATATATCTTTGCTTTGTGTACCTGTGTAAACAACGTCACTCATAGGTGCCTTATTAGATTCAAGGTCAAAAGTACTTTTCTCGGTATGTCCGGACATTTCATCTACATGTCCAACGGACATGTCCGTAACACACTTTTCCGAAAAGTGCCCATCTCTAGTTTATATTAATACTAATCTTAATTACTAGTAAAGGCAGTATTAGGGGTGTGAGATTATTTCCGTAAGACAATTTAACGAGTTCTTGAGATTTTCTTCGCTTTATCCGCGCAAGGTGGCGGCGGAGGCGGTTTGTTTGTTGCCAACCTGCTGTATAATCTGAAATAAAATAAAATAAACACTTCCGAACCAGTACGACCAAAAAAAATAAAAACTTATTTGTTATTACATTATCCACTTACATGCGGTATGTCTCGCTTCTCAAATAGTCCATCAGATGGCTGACGCCCAACTGCAATTGGTCGGCGATGGGCGCCACCCATTCGTTTCCTTCGAATTTGAAGACCGACTTGTTGGAAGCCATGTCTAGATTACCGATTTCAGGCGGTAGAATGGTGAGGCGATTACCTTGGACGTGGAGCTCCCTTAAACGGGTTAACTCACCGATTTCTTTCGGTAACTCGATGAGGTCGTTTTCACGCAGTACCAGCTGAAAAATAATTAGGTGTTCATAAGGTTTGCAGGTGAGCAACGGGAATCAATAAAAATCAAGCTGTAATAAAATCATACTCACTATTTGTAAATTCTTCAAATTTTTTATATCGGGAGGTAAATATTCAAAATCATTGTCTCCTAAGTATAAAGCACGTAAAGTTTCTGTAAAAAAATATACGTAGAGAAATTTAATAGATCATTTGAGTCATATTTTGAAAAACCGTTGCTGCAAAACCATATTTAATGCTGAAGTAGTATGAATACATTGAATACATACCCATCATGAAGAAGTTTCCGGGCAAACTGTCCTCCTTCAGGTTATTATACGTAAGATCCAACACTTCTAAAACGGGAAAAGCACCAAACCCTCTCGGAAGGGTATAAAGACGGTTTATACATAAATTCAAAATCCGTAACTTGGGCATGGATGATAAAGACATGGGTAGTTCCTCGATAAAGTTATTCGCTAAATTTAGTATTTCTAAGTTTGTTAGATTGGCCAATCCTGGGGGTACGGCTAAAATAAAGACATAAAAGTAATGAAATTATTTGTCGAATTGGCACACGTTTACTCACATTTAATTTTGTTGTGGCTCAAAGTGAGTCTTGTGATGTATGTCATATTTACTAAAACAAAAAAAAATACCAATTAGTGTATTTATAAGCTCTAAGGTTAATAGACATTTTTATTTTAACTCTGTTTTCAATCAAGGGAGAATTTTGTATTTTGAAAACGCAGTTATGCAACCCGTAATACACGTGCACTTCCTGCGCGCCACGCCTACCTCGAGTTATGTACATACAAGCTACCAAATTTGGTAAAGACGGCTTGTTATTAAATTATTGTTCAACTCACATAGGCCTGGCATGTCCTCGAAGGTAGAAACGCCCTTGTCAGCCAAATCCAGCTCGGGATTCTGGATTTCCCGAGCTTCTTCCAGTACCTTTTTCGCCTTCGACATTTTCGTGTTCGTCGGGAGACAGGAAACTGGTGCCTGATTCATTGCGCGCGCAAATCCAGCCCGTCAAATTTAAAATTCCGCGAGATAACGTGAGCGGACGACTTTCCACTGACCACTGGTTTGTCTTTTAGCCGTGCAAAAATTCAGTACCTTCCATTGGCCGAGTGCCAGGTGGTTATTTTTGAGATGGGCGTTAGTACTTACTCGAGTAAACGCAGATGTTCCGTTCTTAATAATTAATATTTGCATAAAATAAAAAAATCGGTCTTAAAAGTGGTGTAAATGGTATTGAATATCAAATTTTCTTTTTCGTTCAGGCCTATATCCAATCTAAGTTGATACAATAAATTTATGTCATTAGGAATTAATTGTATTTTTAGAAACAAAAAAATATATATCGGAACACTAAAGTTATTAGTAATTCTATTATAAAATTTTAAATGCAACCTGATTTTTATAGACTCTTTTAGTAGTGACGTTGCATACGCCAAATAATAGGCAACCTCATAGTAAACATTGTCACGAAGAATTTCTCCAAATTTTTATTAGATCGATTTTCGACCTTATGTACTTTGGACATAAGTACTAAAAAAATGTCTTCTTTAGAAATATTTAAGAAGTTGCAAACCACAAGTGACAAACTAAGAATTATAGAATTTATACATGGTGTTTCAGATAGACCTCCCTGGGGGTGATAGTACGACAAAAAATAACAATTTTTTTAAGGACTACTTTTAGAAACGTCACTTATTTTCTACAGCGTAATATTGTAAGAGTTCAATTAAAAGCCTTTTTTGTCGAAAACCGTCCACATTAGGAAGTTCTAATAAGAATACATTATTTTTAGAAAATAAAATTGCACATTAGAAATTGGAGCCCGAATAGTAAAAAACCTAACCTTAAAAAAATTAGAACTTAAAATATAGTACGAATGTAGCATAACTAGCGCCCTCTATGAAATATACAAAAAATAATTAGACCAGCGTATCTGGCATCCTTTAAAACCACGGAATACCAAATTTCATAAAAGTATTTCGCGTCGTTTGGAAATTTTCGTAAAACTTCTATTTAAAAAATTTTATTTTGTCGCTCTGTATCTCGAAAACAAGAGGAGATAAGACATATAGTTCATAAGACAAAAAATAAGAATTTTTTATCTATCACCCCCTGAATTTGCGGGAGGTCTTTCTGAAACACCCTGTATATTTAAATTTATAGAACAATGTCTACTTTTATAGTAATTAATAAATTAAAATTATACAATGTTATTGAGCATGCGCATTAAAGATAATTTCAACTAAACTAAGTAGCCTCGCAACAGGATATCGTTGAAAGAAAATTTAGTTATGGTTAAGAGTACGTCTGTGATAAACCACTTGAAGAAAAAAACACTGACACAGTATAACATCAAGAAAAACAATAAAAATACTTGGTAGAACTAGAAAATGCCAAGATTAAACAAAAGTAGAGAAAATACGCTAATGATGACATAAAAAAGATCACGCCTGCGTATGAGGCTATTCGTTTTAGACATTATGCAACCTATTTTATTCGGGAACATATATATGGTTGCATAAGCACAAAAAAAGCATATTGCAAACATCCATTTTACCAGAAAACTGTTTAATCATTTTTAATATGCAATACAACTTACCTTTTTGTCTTAAATCATTAGGCTCACTCCATACCTTAGCCAAAGTTTAGTTCTACAGGGTGTGATGCATTTAAATCAAATGTAATAACTGTAGTAACCTGATTCTCAAATATTTAAAAATCCCGCGATTCGAATAAGAAGAGATCTTAGGCTTATGGTTAGTTGGTTAGAAAAAAAGAGAGGTTAGGTATTATTTTTATGTCTGGAAAGAAGCGTTGTGCAGATTTTATGTATTTATGGTCAAATAAAGTTTTAAATTAAAATATCGCGTGCCTGCCTAACATACCCACCCAGCTAGAGCTCCCTACATAACTTTTATCGAACTTAATTTTTTCCTATTTTGTAATTTTTTAAAATATCACTAATAAACTGTGTATGGAGTAAAGATTTATTATTTTTACCAATTTAAATATATTAGCACCAATTAGTTCTCATTTTTTGTGCATTTCGAATTACTGCTCCAGTGGTGGATCACAAAAATTGATTGCGTGATTTTTTAATGAGGTACTTCCTTTTTCTTTTATCGATATAATACAACCTTCACTTTTTCAATACTTTTAATTAATAGGCTAACATACCGAAAAAAATTGTACACCCTGTATAGTTCGTTTGTTTCCAATGGTTTGTAAAATCATACGTACATATACAGGCTGATTCAAAATGCAGTACAAAGAATTTAGGGGCGTATTTTTGAGGTCAAAATAAGACTTTTTTTTCCTATAAACACGAGCCCAAAATAAATTTTAAAACTTTTCACGAGTTATAAATTTTGAAAATATGGTGAATTTAACTCTTCATCAGCCAATACCTCAACCAAGTATACCTTTTTTTGCTAAATTGATAGAGGAATAATACGAAACGTCAATGTACAGGGTGGCAAAAAAGTTAGGGCCAATTTAATTCAAGCGTACCCTTATACGTGGCGTACTCCACAAACAGTCTCAAAAGCAATGACATATTTAAATCTGTTTGGAAATTATTCCTAAAAAATCAAAAACTGTAAACATCCTGTATATCGAACACTAAGCATTTGTGGACACACGTTTATAAGAAAAAAGGCCTTATTCAAAAATACGCCCCTAAATTCTTTGTACTGAATTTTGAATCACCCTGTATATTGAAAAATAAGCGAAAAAGTGGCATATGCTAAATTACCGTCACCGAATTAGTGAAAATTAAAAAAAAAATAAAAATGTTTTTCAAAAACTCGTAACAACTCAAAATTCCAACGCAAGTTTAACTAGAAACTAATTTCTTTACGTAACGGTCGTTTTCAGCGACAAATACTAAGAGTACCTTTTATACATGAAATTGAACGGAGAATGTGTACGTTTAGACCAAAATGACATACAGTGCTACACAAAAAGTTATGGTTATTTAAATCCAGGTACAAAACTGTATGTGGCGCCCTCTAACATTAAACAAAAAACTAAATAAATATTGGAGTTTTTCATCATCAATTCTACCAGTTTCCCGGAATTCTTCAAATTGCCATGTTACTGAACAAAAATAAAATTAAAATACTGAACACTTTTTTTGGACGCCCTGTATGAAGAACCAAACCGTTAAGAGACCCATGTCCATATGAACTTTTTATTTTAAAATTAGTCAAAGATTCGCCCATTAAAATTTGTGCAAGTTCTTAATAAACACTGTATATGTAAAAGTTTCTAAAGTTCAAAAAAATTTTTAACATTCCTCATTCAAAAACTCGGTTTTCTTTGCTTTTGTTTTTAGGAACCAGATAAAAGTATTAAATAATTTAAAAAAAATTATTAAAAAGATTTCAATACATAATTTATATTTACACGTACAAAAATTAACACAACATATGAATTTATATACAAAGCGAGTTGTTACCCTTTCCTTACACCACCGAGCATTACCTGACCTATCTAAAGTAAAATAAATAAAATATCCCGACAGCCTCCCGTGGACTTCTCCCTGCAGAAGCTGAAACTCAAAAAACATACTTTGTTTAGTAAAAAAATCAACAGACTTATACTCTTTGGAAACCTAATAAAAAATGTATTTTTTTTTTACATTAGTCTGCAATAGGAACTGGTAGAACTGAATTTACAATTAAAAACTAATGAAACAAAAAAAAATTACAAAATTCGTTAAACGTTTTTTGTATTTAAACACAGAATTTTTTAGTTCTTATTAAAAAGATGGCTAAAAACCAAATTTATATTCAAATCTACCAGTCCCACTGCTGGAAAAAAGGAACGATACTCTTTTCGATACTATACTTAGTCCAATGCTTCCACTTTCGACAGAACCGACTCTGCTCGGCAACAGACTGAAACCAAATCGGAATTTAATAGCAACAGAACGGTCGAGTTGATCTGGTAAAGGAAACTAGCTTCTGCGGTCAACCTTAAGCCTAAACGCTAAATATAAAGTTGCGTGAAAAAAGCTTAATCCTAGATATGTTTAATAATAAATTGGTCACCAATGTGGTGAAAAAGCGAACGTGTAACGATAAACACTTATTATTAAGCAAGATATTTACGGTTCATTAAAATGCATATATAATTGTCTTAATTCAAGCGTGCCATGCTATATTTTAGCGTAAAACCATCAAAAAGGCACAAAATAAAATTTTGCCTTCCCCCTTATTGTCGACGATGCTGAACTCGAAGTTATTTTTGTGCCGTCAAACCTAGTTTTCGAGAAAAAAATGTTTATAAAATTCTGACCTGCACACTTTACAAACGAAAGAAAAATGTACAATTAAATAAATTTATATTATTCCGTAGCATTAAATATCAAATTCCCCCCTCCCCCCCCCACCTTTGCCAGCCATCCTGACATAAGGTTACTAAATACAACAAATTTATTTCTACGGGCAGCAGAAACAGAGAGGGAAATATTCATTTAAATGTTATTTAACTTTTTTCTTAAAAAAAAATATCTTGCTACATCAGATAAGATATTTTGAAACTAAGTTCGTACAAAAATAACATCAGATTTGTGTCAACAGGAGCGAAATTCCGTGTCAATTTGTTAGTTTTAAGAACAATTAATTATTATCAAATCTTTCGTTCTTTTTTGGACAAGTAAATTTGTTGTACTTAGTAACCTTATACTTAGTAACCTTGTTTGAGGCTCAAAGACGATAAAGGGTCAACACGTAGACAGGAAATTTTACTGGAAATGACGGTTTTAATGTAAAATCATGTACAAATAAATTTTTGCTTTTTTTCTTAAAAAAATATGTCCAGGTAAGAATTTTTGAAAATTTTGTTTTCGAAAACTAAGTTTGTGTCAATTTGTTAGTTTTAGGACAAATAAATCCAAATCTTTCTTTCCTTTTTGGGCACATAAATTTGTTGTACTTAGTAACCTTATTTGAGGAACGTTAGACAAAGATGAGAAAGGGGTGAGAGGGAGACAGAAAATTTTACTGGAAATGACGGTTTTAATGCAAAATCATGTAAAAATAAATAATTTTTGTTTTTTTTTTCTTAAAAAAATGTCCAGCTAAGAATTTTTGAAAATTTTGTTTTCGAAAACTAAGTTCGTACAAAAATAACCTCAGATTTGTGTCAACAGGAGTGAAATTCCGTGTCAATTTGTTAGTTTTAAGAACATAATTAATTATTATCAAATCTTTCTTTTTTGGACAAGTAAATTTGTTGTACTTAGTAACCTTATTTGAGGCTCAAAGACGATAAAGGGTTAAGACGTAGACAGGAAATTTTACTGGAAATGACGGTTTTAATGCAAAATCATGTAGAAATAAATAATTTTTGTTTTTTTTTCTTAAAAAAATGTCCAGGTAAAAATTTTAGAAAATTTTGTTTTCAAAAACTAAGTTTGTACAAAAATAACCTCAGATTTGTGTCAACAGGAGTGAAATTCCGTGTCAATTTGTTAGTTTTAAGAACATAATTAATTATTATCAAATCTTTCTTTCTTTTTTGGACAAGTAAATTTGTTGTACTTAGTAACCTTATTTGAGGCTCAAAGACGATAAAGGGTTAAGACGTAGACAGGAAATTTTACTGGAAATGACGGTTTTAATGCAAAATCATGTAGAAATAAATAATTTTAGTTTTTTTTTTCTTAAAAAAATATGTCCAGGTAAGAATTTTTGAAAATTTTGTTTTCGAAAACTAAGTTCGTGTCAATTTGTTAGTTTTAGGACAAATAAATCCAAATCTTTCTTTCCTTTTTGGGCACGTAAATTTGTTGTGAAAATTTTGTTTTCGAAAACTAAGTTCGTGTCAATTTGTTAGTTTTAGGACAAATAAATCCAAATCTTTCTTTCTTTTTTGGGCACGTAAATTTGTTGTACTTAGTAACCTTATTTGAGGAACATTAGACAAAGATGAGAAAGGGGTGAAAGGGAGACAGAATTTTTACTGGAAACAACGGTTTTAATGTAAAATCATGTAGAAATAAATAATTTGTTTTTTTTCCTTAAAAAAATGTCCAGGTAACAATTTTTGAAAATTTTGTTCTCGAAAACTAAGTGCGCACAAAAATAACCTCAGATTTGTGCCAACAGGAGTGAAATTTCGTGTCAATTTGTTAGTTTTACGACAATAAATAATTTCCGAAACTCGTTTCCTCGTTTAAATTCAAGTGCACATTATTTTTCCCGTAACATCAAAAAGTACACACGGAATTCTGAATTCAGCCGTAAAAACGCTCGAAACAAGCTAAAAAGCACACCACCGTTCATTCTTAACACATTTTCCTACTAATTACAGCTTACGATTAGTATTAAGTGTATGCGAGACCCCAGAAGCTAGTTTGTGCAAAATTGGAGGCTACCGCACCTTTCAAAAAGACGCTGGGATCGGAAGGTGAATCTGCAAGCCTTCCCTAAGTGATCGCCTCCGAAAAACTCACGGCTTCCTGAAAATTTAAAAACTATACAGTACGATACCTAACAAAGCTAACGTAAATTTGGTGTAAGGAAAGTACCAACGTAACAAAAAAATACTTAACGTTAATGGTAGAAAACAGATACAGACATTTTGATTTACTCGAGCCAAGACCGGGCGGCGTTTTCGCTGCATGTTGGGCAGAACTCCAGGGAAAGTCTGTGTTTGGAAACGTGAAGGCAAACTCCTACATCGTCTATACCATCGTCGTTATAAAGTACTTCTTTTGGGATGGTCGTAGTGTAATAATTGTGCTCGCTTAATGTATCGGAGGGATTGATTTCGATGTTGTCCTTGAAATCGAAACTGTCCATCAACTCGTGTTCTTTGATATCTATTGGGAAGTCTAATGGGATATCGTTCAGCATCTCTGTTAATTCGTCTCCTCTCAAAGCGTCAGGACTAGACAAATAATTAGATTCGGGTGTGGGATAACTAGGATAATTTGTCTCATCCCACGGATGTGCAGTTTTTCTAGCTATTGGCTGCTTAGGCTTTGGAACACAAACATTTTTCAGTGACAAATTTTTATCCAATGACGAGGATACAGACATACCTGTGTTTTGGTGGATGTTCCGAATCAGTGTGCTTATGTCGCTACTATTCGCAACGACACTTTTGAAATACCTAAGTTGCCTTTTTAAATCGGCTATTAGAAAAGACTGATTGTCTACTACTGAGGCAAGTTTTTTATTTTCCTTTTTTAAAGAAGTGACGTCGTTTTCAAGATTTGTAATATATATCTTCTTCTTTAATCTATTCTCTCGTGCGAGTAGAGCGTTTTTTGAGAAACATTTTGGTTTTCTTCCAGCTCGGGACTCGCTTTTCCTACTTAAAAGTTCATTCTGAAAATCGGGCAATACAGTGGAATATTTAGATTTGCTGTTTTGCTTGCGACTTACTTTATTATTTGGCATGTAATCTACGTCTTCACATGATTCTTCCTCGGATGTAGTACCTTCGTTATCATATACGTATTTCATACGTTTGTTTGATGCCATTTTATCTGCTTACTTTTGTTGTTTACGTAAAAATATACGAACTTTTTAGCACAAGTGTGTAATCGCGTATTTTATACACTGTATGAATTTGATTTGAACATATACATATGCATATAATAGTACAGAAGAAATTTAAGAACGTAACTACCGATCATATACAACACTGACATGAAACATGAAAACAAAATGGCGAAATGTGGTAATGTGGAATGTGGATTGCACAATGTGAGAAAACAAGTTTGACAAGGATTGATTGGCTAAGGAATGTTCAGGGTTGCCAAGTTAGTTTTACAAGGATGCCTTAAGATTTCTCCTTTTCTTTTTACCTTATCCTTGTCTCTCAAATAATTCTAATTAAATTTATTACAGAAAAATTAATATTATGTCCACTCCAAACACGTAATCTGATTTCTGAAATTAGAAATGGATTTTCCGAAGAAAATCCTTGGCCGAGGCAGATTGTTAAAGCTGTTAAATACTCCTTATCTGAAAGCGCATGCGCAGTAATTAGCAAAGTACAATATTTAAAATTGACATACTTATCCAAGACCCAAGACTTGAATAAAATCGGATATTAATCAAATACCTATATGTAATTATATTACAATTTATGTTTCGATTTTTTTATTACTGTTATAAATACTGAAACAAGGTCAGTAAATTTTCATGTCTTTCAAAATGACATCTGTTCATTCGTCGAAATATAATTTTTATAGATAATTATGAATAGACGAATATGTTTCTGGTTGCATATCAAAATATGGCCGCAAGCATTTTTAATTAACGATATTTATAGCGATAAATTTTAATTTGAACATTTTAAATTTTCTATTTACATTTGCGGAGACACAAAATTTCAAATAGCGGGTAAAGGCTTCGTTTTCAGGTAGGTTACTGTAGCTCAACTTGAAAGTTCGCTATTGCGAAGCTGTAGGTCCTCAGTTCGAATCACGGGTGGTCGGATTTTTTTTTCTTTTTGAAAAATGTTACATTTACCAACCTTTTTCAGTTCTTTACATATCTTTCTGTGAAATGAATTATACTTTATCTTACAAACAAGTGAACGGAATTGTTTGGAAAAAATTAATTAATTTAATTTTAATTAAAAATACTTGAGGACTATTTTGATAAGGCAACCCATCAGAAACATATTCCTCTATTCATAATTAATAATTATCTAAAAAAATTGTATTTTGATTAAAAAAACAGACGATCGTAGTAATCTAGCAGTCGGATCTTGTACTATTAGAATTTTATTTCTAAAGTTTTGAAATATCGTAATCTTGATTTAAAAAAAAATATGAGAATGTGATCGAGTAACACGATAATTTTATATCAACAGTAGTTTCACAAAAAGTATATAAATCGTTTAATAATGATTTGGTTTCTTTATCAATGTTATTGTGAAAAATATATCTTTATATGTATGCGAAAACAACATATTTGTTTAACGTTTCAAATAAAATTTCTGTTTGTGATTTTTTTAATTGGATAATTAAGCAATAATAATTTACATATAGATACGAAAAAACAAACTTATTTGACAAGTTTGCAACATTATATGAGAAAAATTTAACAAAAAAACTGGTAGGCATTTTGCCCTAATTTACTCATATCACTATAACTTTTTTTTTTGAATTTTCCCCATACGGATGCACTTAATAGTCAGAAGCCAAAAATACCTGCTACATATCACTTATTAAAGTTTAATTTGTGATTCTTCATTGTTGAAGATAACTTTAACGTAAATAACAAATATTTTTCGTTTCCAAATAACATGATTATTTTATTTTACAGCCATATCATGCTTCGAAATATACCCATTGTGAACGATAGTTTTGGAATGGATTTTAACAAATGCGAAACTTACAAACACTCACGTGCAATTAATTGAAAACCAATACCAATATTAATATTTGCGAGACCACACTGACTTTCATTATGTTCTTAGTATCTGAGCGGAAAATAATTCATAAAATACTATTTAATAAATTAATAATTTATTAAAGTAATGAATGTAAGAGGAAAAAGTGAAATCAAATTAGAGGTACATTTTATTTTAGTTGAAAATCGAATTTTCTGTTATTCGTTAATAATGTAAGCATTCCTAAACTTATGTGGACCTCAGATCATGATAGAAACCTGACATCTACTTCAGGATGCGAAACGCACATCGATTCTTGATATTCACGAAACTTTCAGTTTAATAAATTCTACACCGTCAGGAGAGAATTTTAAAATCCACTAGATTATTACAAGCGCATGCAACAAACAGCAAAACTTAATTACTTTATCTATATTTAGCAATGAAGTTGAAATCTATGGGCTTATCACCAGTGTTTAGATAAAATAATATTTCTCAACATATAAAGCCATAGTAACGAGCTTGTAGTTGTTGAGCCGAGTATTTAAAATGTCGGTAAGTAATTTAGAAAAAAATGAAAAAATATTTTAATAATCATAAAAATTAAACTGTAAAACGTTGTTAGGAGTAGGTACTCACAATTCCATATTGTTTCTAACTTGATCTATTTAGAAATGACTTTACAAATCATAGAGACAGAAGCTGCAAATCATTGTTTAAAAGAGTCCGTAGAAATATTTAGTTTCCTTGGATGGAATTTTTTGTAAAAATGTGTATCTGCCAAGTAAGGATGAGACCACACTATTATTCGATCTGCTTAAATTTGAAGTTTTTAAAAAATTCCAATTTTTGTAAGAACGTATTACAAATATTATTCATTTTGTTATTGAAATTTAATTTAAGTTTATTTTAAGTAATGACGAGTAGTAGGTCTTTTTTCACTATTAAAATTTTTAACATACTTCTCAACCTTGCCAATAATGAAGGTTGATTGAATTAATAAATTAAATAGATACTTGAGCTTTTAAATTTTAGAAAACATAAATGTTTCCATTTACAAGTCATTCTAACAAAAGTTCATAAAATATCAGTAAAATTTTAAGAAGTACTTGCCTTCTAAGAATGTTGAGTAACGATGAAACCACACAATTTTAATGTTGCTGGAATTAAACTGGAATTTTCATCCCGTACAAAATTAAAGGGTCAAAAGAATTTCCGCAATTTTTCCGTGATTTTTGACAGACTGTATTTAGGTGAAAGTGGTGAAACGTTTTTAGATCTTTCGGTCGAAATTTTTTAGGACTTGGCAATTTTTTTTTCAGTTAAGCCATTGCATTGACCAGATTGCATGTTTATTCAACTTTAATTTCCTTTTTTTAAAATTTCGATACGACCATTTTTCATCGAAATATCGGACTTTTAATCCTCCTTTTGTCTTCAATCATCGATATCTCGGCAACAAATGATCGTACAGAGAATTGAAGGGCAGTTTCGAAAACTGAAATAAATTTCCTATAACATTCTGCCGCAAAATTTTTATTTTTTTTTCATCTTTTACACGAATTTTAAAAAACAGCCCACTAAACATTTTTCAGTTTCTGACATGTTTCAGAAATGTTTCCATTTTTCTTGAAACGTTTCATAAAAAATCCATGCAACGTTCTGGTAACGTTCTAGAAGCCCAAGATGTCCTCCCCAAAATACGTTTCCAATGAAACNTGAACTTTTAAATTTTAGAAAACATAAATGTTTCCATTTACAAGTCATTCTAACAAAAGTTCATAAAATATCAGTAAAATTTTAAGAAGTACTTGCCTTCTAAGAATGTTGAGTAACGATGAAACCACACAATTTTAATGTTGCTGGAATTAAACTGGAATTTTCATCCCGTACATAAAATTTTAGAATTTGGAGAAGCAAATTAAATATGTATTAACTAATGCAAAAAATTAAAGGGTCAAAAGAATTTCCGCAATTTTTCCGTGATTTTTGACAGACCGTATTTCGGTGAAAGTGGTGAAACGTTTTTAGATCTTTCGGAAGAATTTTTTAGGACTTGGAAAATTTTTTTTCATCTAAGCCATTGCATGGACCAGATTGCATGTTTATTCAACTTTAATTTCCTTTTTTTTAAATTTCGATACGACCATTTTTCATCGAAATATCGGACTTTTAATGGAAAAGGATCCTTTTGTCTTCAATCATCGCCGACAAATGGTCGTACAGAGAATTGAATGACAGTTTCGACAAGAATAAATTTCCTATAACATGCTGCCGTAACTTTTAGGAATTTTTTTTTCATCGTTTAAACGAATTTTCAAAAATAGAAGAAAAAGGGTAAATTTTGTTTTTTTTTAGAAAATTAACGGCTAAATTAGAAATATTCACGAAATGGCTAATGTTAAACATGACTTTTACAGTTTTTTTTGAGGTTTTCTCACAGTTTTCCGCAAATAACGTTTAAATTAATGAAAAAAATATTTTTTTCAAATTTTTTATTTTCAGAGAAGAAAAAGAGTAGTTTCGAAATAAGAAAATTTGCAAAAATTTTTATCGCGCTATAAGAATTGCTTGAAAACTGTAGCTCCTAAAATATTTCGACCGAAAGATCTAAAAACAAGAATCCTGGAGCTTCAAAATGCTTTTTCCCACTAAACATTTTCCAGTTTCTGACATGTTTCAGAAACGTTTCCATTTTTCTTGAAACGTTTCATAAAAAATCCATGCAACGTTCTGGTAACCCAATAGAAACCGAAGATGTCCTCCCCAAAATACGTTTCCAATGAAACGTTTCAAAAAATTGGTTTCAGTAACATTCTTTTTATGTTCCATTTATGCCCTCGATATTTTTGTTTTACGTTTCAGTATATTTTCAGAAATGTTTGAGTAACATAATAATTTTATTACCATATTGTTCTCATAATGCTCTCAACTTTAGATCATTTTCATTTCAAAAGCGTTTTTGAAATAGTATAAATAGTGTGAGTATTTTTTTAAATATCTCTAATACTCCTTTGTGATATTTTTATTTGTATTGTGAATGACTTAATTCGAACTAAAAAAAGTTACATTGTATATTAAAAAAAATAAATATGCTCTTCTAGTTTGGGGATGCGGCAACTTTTACTAAGAATTTCTTTCTTTTTGAGAAGCCACTGAAAAAAGTTTCTAATATGGATTATGAATTTTGCCATTCATCGTACAAATAAAAATATCACAAAACAATATCAGAAGCATTAAAAAAAAGCTACACATTTTATATAGTTCAAATACGCTTCTGAAATGGAAATTTTCTAATGTTGAGACCTTCATGAATATGGTAACAATGACGAACTGATAATTAGAAAAAGTTAGTTATGATTATGAATCTTAAAATGGTAGGTACATGAAAAACAAATAACATTACTGAAAAATAATATAAAGTTATAATTTCTTCTACGCATGGTCAATATTACATATATCCTTTTAATAATAATAAATTATACAGCAGAAATAAGGATACAAAATGATATCTTGACAAAGTAAATATCTGTAGGTATACCTAAACTCTTTTATTTAAGCATGCCTATACACATAAACAAATATAAACATTTGTACAAAATATAAAATAAATGACGTCTATTTCACTTGATTCATCCATATTTCAAATAGTTCTCACTGACTAAGTAGTTGCTCTTCAAATTATATCGAAACGTATAGTAGTTGTTCCATTTTCTTAGTTCTTGTCCCTTGTCCTCTTGTCTGTAATAGGTAGTGGGTATAACTATATTTAGGTAGATGTGACGCAAAATTGGAAATCTCTACACATATCGTTTTAAACATTTTGCATCAATATTCATTATTTTATATGCACCTTACAATAACCACAACTGCACACACTACAAATTATCACATAAAATAGCGTCAAAGTAAAGATGAATAACAACGAAACCAAGCAAACTGACAAACCGCAAACCTAACCTAACATAATACGAATTGAAACGACACACGGGAAACAAATAAACTCGGGCTGTTACGCGCAGTCTACGCAAGTCACGAACATACATTTTTTCTAGACTTGTGTTATAAATATGCTACCACATTTTTTTTTCTAATTATGTCTTTATATAACAAAGGCAAATGAACTAACGCTTGAGAAGGATTGGGGATTGAGAGCAAAATTTAACTAATGCCGAATGTTCCATAAGATAAGCAAAAATAGCAAAGGGTTGTTCGTCTGTTATGTTTCCGAGATCGAAAGGGAATGTTTCGAGTAATGTTTCAAACTCTCTTCAATTGTAACGTTTCGGCTATGTTTCACTAAATAAGTTTTCAAGTGCTACATTTCTGTAATGAAACAGAAACGTTTCTAGTTAATGTTTCAAATGTTTAGTAAAACATCTCATTTGCAACGTTTCATTTACGTTTCGTGTTTAGTGGGAGGAAAAAAGTGTCATTTATGTTTTTTTAGAAAATTGTTAAACATGACTTTTACAGTTCGATATACCCAGAGGAATTCATTTCGATCTAGCGAACCGTTTTTTTGTTTGTCAAATTTTTGAAAAAAATTAAAGGGTCACGTTTTTTGAGCCTAAACACTTCATAATGATTAAAATGGAACATTTTTTTTTGAGGTTTTCTCACATTTTTACCGCAAACAACGTTTAAATTAATGAAAAAAAAATTTTGAATTTTGTTTTTCAGAGAAGAAAAAGGGTAGTTTCGAAATAAAAAGAAAATTTGTAAAAATTTTTTGTCGCGCCATTTCTTAGAATTGCATGATAACCGTAGCTCCTAAAAAATTTCGACCGAAAGATCTAAAAACTAGAATCTTGGAGCCTCAAAATGCTTTTTTTCAATTCCCGTTTCGACCATTTTTCACCTAAATGTGTGAAGTTAAATTAATGTTAATAGAAAAAATTTTGTTATATTGACACTATAAATGTTTTCTCTGTTTGCAAGAAATTCACGAAATCTTAATTAATTTGTTATAGTTTATTTAAAAATCTATATTTTATTAGAGACAAATTCCCAGAGTTTTTTCTTCCAGAAATATTAGATTTTATTAAATAAAAGAAATAACAATTCAATCAAACTCCCCTAAATCATCTCCATTTAAAACAATCAAAATAATAATATTAACTTCTCTTTATTTAATGCTATTGTATTATCATACTTTGATTTGTCCAAATTGTTTTTTTCTAAGATTTGCAATAGTTCTATATATAGGTAGGTATGTCAAATTTAGAAATGTCATATTTTTTATGTTATTCATCGAATATTATAATTAAAAAACTGGATATATTTTGTTTTCGTGTCGTTGTTTGTCACAACCCTTTTAAAATATTTGAAAAAACAAAACTTTACTATCATCATATACGTCTACACAATTTCAAAATGTATCAAAAATCAATTCTGAATTAAAATTACGTTACCAGGAATACAACAAATTGCTGCAAGTCATTAAGTGGAGATCCTATACAATGCATTTAGGAACAAACATTTACCCCACTACAGTGGAACTTATCAGTGTTTATGTCGTTTCTACCACTATATAAAACCGAACCAGGTTCCCTCGACAGCTAGATACAAAGAGTTGCTGGTACAGTTCTTGAAAAATTTACAAACCTACATTCAAGATGCCTTCAATTCGCTTGGGAGACGTCGTTCCAAATTTCAGCGCCGAAACCACCCAAGGGCCGATTAATTTTTACGAGTGGCAAGGAGATAAGTAAGTGTGCACGTTTCGTTCGTTTTGATAGACCCGTTCTCAGGGATAATTACAATTATTTGTAAGATTGTAGAAAATAGATAGGCGTTTTCAAAATTTATTATAAATATGCGTATATTCGTATAAAAATGCCCCATTTATAAGTAGAAATTACGATATATCTATTAACGCACATACAGTATGTTCCATTTTGAGCGGCACGTATTCGCATAGCACAGAGATCGGTTTTCTTTTCTTTTTCAGCAAGGAGTGCTAGATTATTTATCTCAATTTGCGTACATTTTATTTCTTTCTTTATTTCAAGTAAAATAAGTCACTATTTGTTTATGTGCAAACAAAAGATAAACCTGTTTACAAATAAATAAAGCATTTTGAAAATGGAATCTTAAAACAATAACGTTAAATAATAACTTAAGTTTTAGAATATTCAACGAAATGTCAAATAAATAAATAAATAAATACTATATTTTAAAAATTATACTTTCTAAAGCAAAGACCCTGTATGATCTATCAAAACGAAGTTTTGGTATTTGCAAAACTATTCATTTTTTTTTCTTGAAAAGGAACCTAATGTGATTTTCCGATTGTTTGATTTCATCGAGTATAAGGTTAAATTGTGCTGGTGGTCCTGCTCAAAACGGAATAAAATATACAGCATTTAACGCATTATTAAATAAATGAAATTGTAATTTTTTAGTTTAATACTCTGATCAATATTGTTTATAAATAGCAATATATAGTTCTAATCTATATTCAATGATGCCTATATTTTGATTTGTGATTGTGATTATGCGGCTCAATAATTAATTAACTCTTCATAAAACTACTAAACTATTTTCGCATATTTGTCTAATCAAACACTTGGTAGATAAATATAAGTTAAAGTAATTTTTAATGTAATGAATACGATCTTTGTTATTATAATTTCACAATCAAATCTACGCCACAAACTGATAAAAAAAGACCTTACAAACACGTTTTCGGAAGCGGTTTCCAAGATAAAGACTGTTCAAAATGAATATAAAAAGATGTAGTGTTGGGAAAAACAATGAAAATAGCACTTAATTGCATTTATGGTTGCATGATTATTTGAATTTACTGGAAATCTAAAAATTTTAACAGAAATTTTTATGCTGAATCAACAAATCATTCAGAAAATGTAGGGGTCGTTTTCCTTAAGAGGTCAATAGGGCATAAAATATTTTCAAAAAGACGCCAGTATGCAATTATGGCTTCCCACACTTCCTGAATCAATTATTATATGTCATTTCGCAGATATTAATAACGAAAAACAATTTGAAAAATAAAATTTCAACAATTTGTAAACAAGACACTTGAGACTAAGTAAGTTTTCTTAAATTTAGTTGAGGATCTATGTTTTTTTGTATGTCAACTGCTTTCTGGAATACCTTGCATACAGGGTGTCGCCGGTTTAAGTGTCTTGAATGAAACAACTAACAGAAAAATTAATTTTAAGCACAGAGTCTTATATAAACAAATATACCCGATCTACCTAATATTAAAATTTTTCTTTAAGATGGGTTGTTCTTTTTTCCCATCCTGCCGACTTTACACCGGTGTGTACAACAGAACTGGGTCGCATAGCTGTCCACGAACCATACTTCACTAAGAGGAATGTAAAACTGCTGGCGCATTCGGTGGACGATATCAAATCACATCAGGATTGGGTAAGAAACGTTTTTGTCAGTGCCAATAAAATCGTAAAATTGTGGGAAAATAAAATTTAGGTGAACGATATCAAGAACTACTGTCAAGATATCCCGGGGGAATTCCCTTATCCGATCATAGCTGACCCAAAGAGAAAATTGGCTGTACAGTTGGACATGCTAGACAGTGAAAATCGGCAGAAAGAAGAGTACGCCACGACAATCAGAGCCTTGTACATCATCGACCCCAAGCATACACTGAGATTGTCGATGTTCTACCCCAGCAGTACCGGACGGAATGTAGAGTAAGTTGCTAGATTTGAATCAAATAAAAGAAAGGTACTGTCAATTCTATAGCATGCGTTCTCTTTTAGTGAAATACTAAGAGTCATCGATTCTCTACAACTCGTCGATAGAATTCCTCAGGTTGCCACTCCAGCTAACTGGGTGGTAAGTAAAATTAGAACTACTCCGTTTATTCGTACAAATGTTTCGCTACCTAAGTATTATTACATTTACAGCCTGGTGAAAAAGTGATGATCCTGCCGACAGTGAGCGATAGCGAAATACAAAAACTGTTCCCAGGTGAAGTTGATGTCGTTAGAATGCCTTCTGGAATCACTTACGTCCGCACCACCACCAACTACTAGATTTGAAAGGCCACAATCCAATCATCTAAAATATCAACGTAGCCATGCTTCTAACAAATGACTGTCGTTGTCACGACTACGACTTGGTATAACATTGTTTAACTAGGCAGCTGTTTATATGTGAATAAGTAGACAATTTTTTAAATCAATGTTTTCAATAAAAAATTTCCTCAAAATCTATATATACGTTACTCTGTTTTTTTTATGCGGTACTTGTGATGATACATTCGATGGTGTTGGAGACAGGTGCCAAAATAATCAAGGCTGTTTATTATTGGCCATATATACTGAAATATTACAAACATTGGGCATAAAAATTACTATATATAGCCATGTAATAAAAATACCCGGTTCGGCAGCTGTAAGATTTATTCTAATAATAAATTTGTTGCCGTTTGCTTGAAAAATTATTTAAATTCACTAAAACGGAACACAAATAATTTATTTGTCAACAACTAATACAATTTTATGTACATTTGTAAAAAATAAACGTCCTATTTATTTATAATATCTAAAATGCTATCAGCCTCTTCCTTAGGAAAATTAACGTAACTACAATTAAAAACCTCGCTAAAATTGTTTAAAAATACAGGCAAAACTTCCTCAATCGTCACGTCCCGACTAAGTTCCTTCGATAAACTTGTAACCCCCTTTCCTTCAATACCGCATGGAATTATATGTTCGAACCAAGTCAAGTCGGTATTACAATTTAGGGCAAGTCCATGGGTAGTAACGTATCGACTAGCATGTATGCCTATGGCACAAACCTGTCACAAAGCAATACAAATTTCGTGGGATCTTCAAGTTCAAAGAATCGTCTCACCTTTTCGTCTTTGATCCAGACTCCCGTGTGTGGAGATGTTTGGGCTTCTAAATTAAACGCATTGCAGAGTTTTATTATGGTTTTCTCGATGCTACAGACGTACCACCTAACGCTAGGTTTGAAATGCTTTAAATTTATTATGGGATACACCACTAGTTGCCCAGGACCGTGAAATGTTATCAAACCTCCTCTGTTGGTTCTGTGAAACTCGGCACCTGGTTAGAAACACGATTTTAATAGCAGTTTTATTCAAAATTTATGAATACCTTTAGTCTTTAATGTATTTTCTTCAGATTCAGTATACTGTTTGGTTCTTATTCCAGTTGTGTAAACCGGGGGATGCTCTAAACACAGAAGAGTATTGCACAAGAAATGTCCATTGTGTAGATTAGCTAAATGTTTCTGTAATTTTAGACCGTTTGAGTAGCTTATTTTTCCAACCTGCCATACTTTCACCAACCTTTCCATTTTTTAGGTTAAAATTTAAGGTTTACGAAAATTATCAACAATGAATACATCTTACTGTATTAAAGGTTGCATAACTTACAAAGTGTATATTTTACAGGCCTGTCAAATTTTATGTGGAAAATGAATGTATTTATAAAGCAGTATTGTATTATTTATTTATATTTAAGGTAAATAATTTTTATATGTTGGAGCCATATGCATTTGCAACAAACGAAACCCGTAATACAGCCATGTTGTATTGCGTTGCTATCTAGGTATATGAAAAATAACTACGTCTTTTGCAAATTGGTTTAGGCATGTAGGTACTTCAGTTATTATTAACGTAGACAAAATTACAAAAGAATTATATTACACTCAGTAAATTTTCGTAATTCCTTAATGGAGAAAATGTTATCGACAGACCGCAGCGCACGCGCACCAGCCACGAATTTCCTCTCTCGTTTCTTCTATTTGGTTTGATATCTCACCTTTTCTTCCTGCTCCTGCTAATAGCGAGCCGGCCGCGATATTTGACATTCAAATAAATTGACGGTTGTGTTGTACCCTCCGTGGAACGTGCGCGTCCGATCTAATTTCAGTTGACTATCGCGTAATTTTAGTTAAGTTGTAGTTGAACCTCCGGTCATACCCAGCATATCTAACAAACTCTATTTAAACAATTGCACCAGCGACATGGTTTACCAGTAACGCGAACCTTTCAAAATCCCGCGATCACGTGTTTGTTTATGTTTGTAGTTGCACATCTTTTTGAAAGCACTGACTCTCCTGCCAACGATGTAAGTATGACTTTTCACATGTTTCATCGTATTCTTCGGGGTTCGGTAATAAACAAACTTGGGAAACACAACAGTTGGTTGTATAAAGGATACGACATACCCGACTTCTAGTTTTTGTGTTTGAATTATGAACCAGTGGTTTCTAGATTTTGTGGCATTCTAAATACTAAAATCATAAGCAAGGTAGACAAATATATGCCTTTTAATTTTTAAATGGTTTCTGACACTGAAGTTATCGATATAGGCGCTCACGTTTTTATAAATGTAGACTAATCAAATAAAATGTTAACGTGACACAATATAGACGTATTACTTATAATTACATTGTTATTTTATTTATTATACTTGAACAATATTGATAGATTATAAGTAATTTGTGTACCTTGTTGGTAATGATCAGAAACAGGGTTTCCCGAACAAATGAAGTTCAAATGAATTAAATAGTTCTTAAAAATGTATAATTTTCTCAAAATTGCAAACTTTAAGCACGATACGATCTTTTTAGGTGATAAATTTTGAAAAATAAATATTTTAGCAATTTCTTTATCGAAATCCAAATCTAATACCATGATGTTATTTCACATTTGCATGCCATTCATTATTCAAGATAAATTTTTTAACTTTGTGCTTTTTTTTACATAAAATGTTTATCTAATAAACTGTTATTGATACACGTGATATATTGGACAGTCATGGCAAACTACATATATGTATGAGATTTGTTTGATAGATGCAAATATTTCTGGTCTGTGAAAATTTGTTCCTCTTGTAATTATAGAAAACTGTGTACCTAATTGTACGTTTGTAAAAATAGCCGTAACCATTGTTTGGAAACACACATTAAGTATTGTTTTCCTGAAATTTTCCTCGTAAATACACAACACTGTAATATTTTCGATGTACAGATATCTAAAAATAGTCACTCATTGTTACAACCTCGCCGTAGTCTCTTATAGCAGGTAGTGTATTAAATATCGACTTTTAATGTGATTGTCATCCTTCACGTGTGCCCCATTAAGCAAGGTCGTTAATAATAATAAAATAATACGTTTCCTGTCTGGGGTAATAATAATATAATGTGGTTATTATGACATTTGTTTAAATGTTTTCACATGTTCCTTGTTACGTACTACTTTCCTTATCGGGGAAATAGACACACAAGTCGATAATACTATTCAAATTTAAATTCCATTACTTATAGAAAATGTACTTATAACTTCTTACAATTAGCGTTCACTCTAATTCGAAGGTACCTGACTTGTATTTTTTAAATTCGCATTCTAGAAATAACCAAAGTTCAAGCAGGCCTTGACGTAAAGGGGAAATAAAGAAAAACGTTTGTAGCAAGCCATTAAATTTAATTAGAAATATTCATTTTTGTGGAAAACACTATGCAGTTTCAATGCGAGTTAAATATAATCAATAATCATGATTGATGAGGGTCTTACCTCATCTGGGCAATTTTTTCTATGCGGACTGTTGATTCATTCCCTTATTTGGGCTTAAGGTGGTCTAAACTATCTACATTTTAGATTTTTTATTCATACATTTGTTCCGGATAGCAAAATGACGACGAATAACAAATTTCTGTTGCAGTTTCAGTGTAAATGATCCTGCAATTTTCAGATTAGGTACTGAAGAAGTATTTCAGGAACAGGAAAGGTCAAGGCAACCTTTGTATTTCACATTAATGAATTCAGTTCCAGAAAAAAATATTTAATCTTCAGATGTCACTCCAGAAAACTTCAATAATTGTACTCTAGAAAGTGCAAGGACTGATTCTTCCATATCTCTAATAATATCGCTAATATGAAATAGTGTTTTTTTTATTCGAAGATCTGCAATGATCGAGTTAGTGGTTGATTCTACTTTGATTACATTTTCTTGTCGTCAAATAAAGCAAAAAGTCATGAAAGTTACTAAATTAATTTTTTATCGTCTTTGCGGTCTTCAGAAACAATTTACGTAAATTAATGGAAATTTATACTGAAATTAGGGTAAGTCTTTACAAAGAAACTTTAATTTTCGTTGTAATTTAAAAGGTTTTTCAGACTTTGTGTAAATCCATTATCATATTTGGTAAAGTGACAATTTTCAAAATAATTTGAGGCATACATTATATCTATCTAGTAAAAATATGGTCCCATCTTGTCTTTGTGGTGCAATTGTTGGTACAGGTGAAAATTCAAAGATACAAATACACTTTTTCCAATGCACTGCAAGTATGCTATTTTCCACAGCTGCAAAAACCCACTGAAGTTCTAAGAAACCTTTAAAAAAAACAGTATAAGTGACAATTACTAGAATATGAAGTCATTGGTTTTCCTTCTATTTGCATGATGGCATTTATTGGTGCATTAGATACATTTTTAGTGTTAAACAGTTCAAACTTGATTAATAGCAACATTCGGGCCTAGGCCTAGGACCTTTTTTAGGCAAAGGGTTTCTTACAGTGGGAAGAGAATCAAATTATTCCCAAAATATGTTTTAGATACTTGCTTGTAGCTACAATACAAAAGATTCCTCACTGACATAACGGGTAAAACCATTTAGGACATACATAGAAAGCACATAATCGTTACTGACCCTAGGAGGTTACAAAATAATTGTTAGATCAGTATGGGTGCGGCTCCAGTCAACTGTGCGTGTCGCTAATATAAAAACATGTCTTTGTGGTGGGTGAAAGAACAATGTAATAGCATACATACGCTCAGAATGGAACCTATGGATCTAATTTTGGATACGGCTGATAATAATTAATAAGGGATAGGAAACAAGTAGTTTTCAGTTTGGTAGAATGTTAGCGCGCATCCTAATAGAGACTAAATACTGTTTAAATAAGGATATCTCCGAAAAACGCAAAAGTTGAGACTAAAGAACAGTTCGCAGTCTACTGATTTGCTCAATAACTAGGGACACTTGTGATTTGATTAGTAGAACAAAACTCACTTCTATTTTTTATCTCAAATTTGTTACTAAACTAAATTAAGATACAAGCAACACCGTCACTGTCTTGCAAATATAGATTGATTGGGAGATTCAATTGGGCGATGGCAATCGTACCCAAATGTATCAATAAACATAATTGACAATCAGTAATAAAGCTAGTGGCGACTGGCAAAAATTAGGGTGGTCATATTTTGATCATATCTCTATACCCACACGGAGAACTATCACGACGAACCAAACTTCGAACGGAATAATTTGCTGAACAAAAAATTAAAATGGCAGCAGTGACACGGGACACCCAGTAAACGATTCCAAAAGTGGCGAGTACTTCCTCATTAAAGTGTAATACATAATATTTTATTTATTAAGTGATCTTTATTGCTGTGCAAACAGATGGTTAGTAGCACTGGCAACGGACTAAGTGAGAAAGAGTACGGAGTGTATCCATTAATTGGCGGGCAGACAGGCAGATGTTTACAGTTGTATTTCATGGGAAAATATCGCCCATTGTTTGTACGGTGTCATTAATTGGCAAGAATTTGCCGGCAAAAGCGAAGGCACTTTCATTGTCAATTTTTTTTAGTCGGAGCGGTTTCGGGAACATGGAAATACTTATCGGTTTCTAAAATAAATAAAAATGCAACAATTAAGACAATTTCGAGATTATTTAAATGTATTTTTATCGTTTTCTTGTTTTATCCCTCCCTTATACATACTTTTTTACGTCTCAAACAAAATTTAAATCACTTGCAGTTTGTAACTATTGACAAAAACTGTAAAAGACGTTTTTCGTGTCTCAAAAAGTTAATTTTGTTAAATTCTGATTTGGAATATCAAAGCGAAAAAATGTAACACCAAAAAAGTTGCCTAAATTGAAAAAAAGTTAAAATTGGGTAGTTTTATTTTAACTACTAAACTAATGCAAAAAATTGAATGGTCAAAAGAATTTCCGAAATATTTCCGTGATTTTTGACGGATTGTACTTAGGTGAAAAATGGTCGTATCGGGAATTAAAAAAAAGCATTTTGAAGCTCTAAGATTCTAGTTTTTAGATCTTTCGGTCGAAATTTTTTAGGAGTTACAGTTATCATCGGTTATCAGTCGTTTATAGTTTTGTTGTTTTAAAGTCGGTTTAAAAGAGCGTATTTACGAGAACTTTTTTATTTTTTGGAGGGTTCTGTCGTCGGTTAAAGCTTGATCCGTGCCATTCGAACACTCTGTGTTAGTAATATAAAAGCATAAAACGCAAAAGGAAATACAGTTTCAGGAATAATTAACATTGGTTTTATGTACCATTAAATCGTTATTCTGATGATAGTTTTTATTTTTAATTATGCAC